AGTTTTTATGTTAAATCGGTTGATGCAGGAACCAAGCGCGCTTCCAAGAGCGGAAAGTTTCAATTATTGTGCATGAAAAGGACCAATTAAGTCTCTAGGCGATAGCTGAGTCTTTAGGGGATCCAAAGATCCGATTGCATGAATGGACTCCACTCATTTGTTTACTCGGTAAAACAACCAGTAGGTACCAGTTCATTATGGCTTCATTTTAATGAGACACACTGCGTTCTACATCCTGACAGGCTGGAGGAACTGAGTCTGAGTTCAGCTCCGTGAAGTTCCCCGTACAGAGAGCACAAGCGACGAAACCCACCTCTTTCGTTAGTGCTGCGTTTGTGCCGGTTTGTGTCGTTGAACGTCGCGTTTGTGCTGCTCTCATTGCCGAGATATAGCGCCTTGTTATTCGGGTGGTCACGTGACCATGCACGGTGACTTTGACCCCCAGTGACCCGGTCTGCCGGGTTCAAGCGCTCTGTTACAGTTTAGCTCGTACCCTTAACATTTTAAATCCATATACATACAGTATCATAAACATATGAGCCTCCGTAGATGTGAATAATACTAAGACATGACGCATGCCAACAAGTTAACCATCTGTGACACAAACCTGGGGTTGTAATGTACGTAAAAGCACCGTGATTGTAAGATCTGTGGGTTTTATTTTCTAAGGCACGTTTTCCTTTTCTTTCCCTGCTGTGACAGCTGCTGCCAAACGCGTAACTGCGCGATACCATCGCGACAAGCCCTCCGCAGCATGTCATGATAGGGACCCCATGCATATCGCATGTATATCGCGGCAGCGTATATCACGACTGGCGCCTTGCTTCCATGCCACCCTGGCAACGCTCTCGCAACACAGGTCTCATATCAGGACATGAGATACCCAGATAGGACGATATATGGACTTTGTGTCGTGACATGGGGTCAGGGTATGTCCTATCGCGATATACGGGCTAAATGTCACGACGTGGGTGTGGCTGGTTTTGCCATATCGCGATATGGAGTTAAGGAGGAACGCGAAGCGGACGTTGTTGCAACAGTGAAGGGTGTCTGTAGAAGGACCCTGCCGGACCAGGGGGACGTGATATCGGCCATTGACTCCGTTCACAGGCTCGGGAGAGCGAACATGTCACAGGCTCGGGAGAGCGAACATGCCCCAGAATGATTATAATACAGTTCACCAGGAGGACGGCGAGGGACACGCTGTGGCGAGGGGGGAGAGGGAATGAGTATTTGAATGAGAACAAACTGAGGTTTGCAGAGGACCTGTCCGCCGCGGACAGGAGCACCAGGAGCCAGGTTGACGCTGGCAGAAGAGAGAGGAGGAGAGCCTACTTTGTGGGAGTGAGGGCCTCTGTGGAGGGGAAGGAGACCCGCTCCCAGTGACTGCTCAGTTAATGATTATGTTTGGTTTTATTTGTTATAGCAGTATATACTCGTGTTTATTTAGTGTTAGTTTGGAATGGTGTAGTTAAGTATTAAGGACTGTTATAGTTCAGGTTCTTTGAAAAACTCAATAACTCCATAATAAACTCGATAAGCAATACATTTTCGAGAACATGATTAAAAATGAAAAGAAAACACGTCACCCAACGAACTAACATAGTAACTCCTCCCTAGATGTAAGACTGTTTATTCACGTAAAGGCTGCAAAGTCTGGGGTTAACTGATCAAAAGATCACAACTGAAAGATCTGGTGGTCGTGACTGTGCTGTTTTGTACGTCACAGAGTGACGTCACAGCCAGGAAAAGAAGGCGCTATATTGAAACATCCACCCCAACCGAGCAGACAGAGTCGGGAAACAAATCGCCCCCATTGTTTTCAACACAATCAGGAGTACCGAGTTTTTCGGTACCTGTAAACTTCCTTGTAGGTAGTCACGTGATTACCCGCAAAACCAAGGCGCTATATCTCGGAAATGAAAGCAGCACAAACGCTACTTACAGCGACACAAGCCGGCACAAACGCAGCACAAACGATTGCGGTGAGTTTCGTCGTTTGCGCTGTTCGACGGGCGGGTGGGCAGCTTCATGGAGCAGGACAAGCAGACGTGTCCGGGGCAGTACATCGCAGACTACAGAAGACTCGACTCCACCTGAGGATCTAACACAGGCGCCCACACCTGTGTCTCCAGCGGGCAGGTGGGCCCTCACGCTGTATTCCGCACCAAGACCGGCCGGAAACACGAAGAAACAAGGACCGTGAGCTCATCGCTTCGTGTTTGCGCGTAAGACCCCCGTAAATACAAACACAAGCACGTCTCGCCTGACGGGTCGAATCTACACGTCCCTCGGTGCGCGTGTTTATTGAAGGAGAAGGTGAGAAACTGATCACTTCTTCAGATATTTTAAAAAGCACACCGCGACGAAGTATTAAGACGTGCTCGTTCAAGCCTCTTGGTAAGAACATGCAATTGTTCGCTTTTTGAGACTACACCCCCCACTCCTCTGATGAGGGTATGTGATATTGGTGACAAATCTAATTCTCCTGCTCACACAAACGCACAGAAGACACCGATAATAAATGCAAAATCCACCGCCGCCGCCCACCCGGGCAAACAGGATCACACCTGAAGAGCTGTTCCTCTCGCACCGGTAACAGACGCTTGAACTCGGCAGACGGGTCACTGGGGGGTCAAAGTCACCGTGCACGGTGACGTCATCACCGGGAAAACAAGGCGCTATATCTCGGCAACAAAAGCAGCACAAACGCTTCTTTCAGCGGCACAAACGTAGGACTAACGAATGAGGGGGGTTTCAGTGTTTGTGCTGTCTGTAGGGGAGGGCAGCTTCACGGAGCTGAAAGAGCATTTACAACAGAACAATAAAATTAAAAGTCAGCTGACACCAGCAGGCACTTCTGTACACAAAGAGTGGTGGGAGGGGGGAACAGGCTGCCCAGGCCATGTTGCTGAAGCCCACACCCTGGCTTCTCTCCAGACATAGCTGGCTGAGCTCCTGGGGTCAGTGAACTCCAAAGATGAGATGGACTGGACGGGCCGGACGGCCCCTCTCACTGGTCACTGTCCCCACAACGACACAGACCAGCATCAGACAGAGATCACTGAGCTTAGAAGTCGATCCCAGCTGATGCCGAAATTCACAGACCAAATCAGAAAAATCACTCGAACCGGCTGCCGAATCTCACGAGAGCTTCTGAGAGGACAAGAGGCTGTTCACCGATCGGACTGAGGCGCAAGAATCGGCACACTGACCTTTGTTCATTTTAGATGCAAAACGATATACATTCATCCACTTAACAGATTAATTTAATTTATTTTAAAATGTGCATGTTCACATGTACAACACAGAAATTGAGCATTTCCATAAAAGCAATATTTTAATAATACAAAAAAAATCAAAACAAATTAAAAATAAAAATCACAGATCGTTTTCTTCTCTTGCAGCCCACGAGTCATTCGGCTCCCGACAGACGAAGCACAAGTTACACATCTCTGCTCTGGGTATGTCTCACTGTGCCTCCTGTCCTCTCGTGCGAGAGAGAAAGCGCTCTCACGGAGGGGACAGGAGTAGTAATAATCACAAGACAGGAGACACAGTGAAAGAGAGGAGATCACGGAGAATCCCTCAGTAAGAAACGCACATATCAGGATAGGAGACACAGTGAAAGGAGATCAGAGAACCCCTCGGTAACAAACAGACAGCAGGACAGGAGACACAGAAAAGAGAGAGAGGACAGAACAGGACAGAGCAGAGAACTATAAACCAGCACTTGAGTTACAAAGCATTTCATTTCCCCCAGTTCATTTTTAACGTTACTATAAGACTATATTTTCTTAAAAGGATCATCTGAAATGTATTTGGGTATATCTCGGTCACCCGGCGCCAGATCCCTCGGATTACACAAACGACCCACAATCCCTCCCGCCTCCGTCAGCCTGGGACCAGGACTGGGGGGGCACTGGTACCTCCGCACCCACCCAGGGCAGGGCAGAGCAGAACAGGGGAGAACCCCCTCCCGAGGACACGCCCCCTGAGATCACAACAGAAGCCCCGCCCAAGGACACGCCCCCTGAGATCACAACAGAAGCCCCGCCCAAGGACACGCCCCCCTGAGATCACACCAGAAGCCCCGCCCACGGACACGCCCCCCTGAGATCACACCAGAAGCCCCGCCCACGGACACGCCCCCTCCGATCACACCAGAAGCCCCGCCCAAGGACACGCCCCCTCCGATCACACCAGAAGCCCCGCCCAAGGACACGCCCCCCTGAGATCACAGCAGAAGCCCCGCCCAAGGACACGCCCCCCTGAGATCACAACAGAAGCCCCGCCCAAGGACACGCCCCCACTCAGAGCAGAACGGGAACCCCGCACAAGGGCTGCTGGGAGACGGGAGTCGGATGGGTGACCCCCCCTCGACACAGCGGTCCGTCACCCCGAGCTAGGGAATACTGAGGCCCTCCTGAACACCGGGGGAGGAATCATACCATCATCCCAGCACTGAGGAACCCAACAGAGCACAGAGGGACCACGACAAGGGTGCCTACTCGCAGCGACAGCATGCCGGCGAGGAAGAGCCCCCGCTGTCTGCTCGGGCCCGAAACGCACCAGGTTCTGAAAACGAAACGGACCCCCTCCCCCAGCCGGGACGCGCCCAGCTGTTGCTGCGTTATCGCCGAGAAGGAGGGCTCACACCGCCCCGCGCCCTGGCTGCCCTCTCGCCCAGCTGCACCCGAAACACAGGGGATACACCTCATCCCCCACCGCCACCCTTAGAACGGGAATCGGCGAATGAGCCAATGCACTACGGAAACTCCAAGGCCCGGAAACGAAACGCATCCCGCCACACGCAGAACACGCGACTGCGATTTCCAGACGCGCCCACGACCCCTGTCCGACCCCTGACCTCTGACCCCACCCCCCATCCCTTACAGCTCGGCACGGGGCGAGACAAACACACGAAATTAAAAAAAAACACTTTGATTTTCACAATTAACAGATATATATTTTTTCTCTCTTTTCAAATCTCTGTTAAACAGATAATTCTGTAACTTAAATATTTAAATTTTGATCCCACGCCACAATAAAAATAAAAAAAAAACAGGAAATCAGGCTGCAATTACACCTTTTGAACACCAGGCGTGAGTGTGTGTGTGTGTCTCGGTCTCTTTTTAGTCATCACTCGCTCAGACATTTTCCTTGAAAGTGCCAATTTCTACATCCCCAGAGTCCACTGGCTCTGCGCTCACTTGTTTACAACAGGCCGTTATTACTGTGTCCACTGTGCTACTGTCCATGAACTCGAGAGGAGATCACAGAGGATCACTCAGTGATACACAACAGGACAGGAGACACAGTGAGAGAGAGGAGATCACAGAGAACAGAGACACAGTGACACAGGAGAGAACAGACAGTCCCTGTGTGATAGACCTGCTGCACTGAATAATTAGTGAGTTAGTGGTTCAGTACGGCGTCTCTCCCTCAGTGCAGTGTTAATGCTGGCAGTCAGTCCCTGTCTGCTACTGAAACACACACACACTTAAAAAAAAAAAAAACAGTGAATAAATAACTGCTCACAAAATCCTCCTTTCCCTCCCTCCCAATTCTCCCAGAAACCCCCCCAAAAAAATGTTTCCTCTCTGGAAAACAAAACAAAGAGACAAATCCATTTTGCTCTGACTTTTTGAACACAGACGCGGACGTGTGGCCCTGGAGGCAGCTCCGATTGGCCAGGGGGAGCTTCAGAGAAGAAAGGGATTGGTGCTTCCTCCTGTGGTCCCGCCCCCTGTCCCGCCCACCCCTCCACCGACCCCCGACCCCAGACCCCCCCCTCCTCCCACGCCTCCGCCTCCCAAGATCAGCTGTGGCTGGGCAGCCACCCCTGCGCCCATCAATATGGTAGCTCCCGGAGGAGCCATGGGGGACACCCCGCCATAGGGCATCCCCATGGGACTGGACTGAACCATCCCTAATCCCATTTGCGGGGGGGGCAGCTGCACTGCCATCGCCGGTAACGGGGGCTGCACCATTCCCAATCCGGGGTGGCCAGGGGTCCCCAGGATCACGGCTCCGGGGGGAACAGGGCTGGTGCGCAGCTGACTCAGCCCCAGGCTGGAAGGCTGGGGGGAGACAGAGGCGAGCGGGGCTGAACCAAAGGGGTTGGAAGTCGGAGGGGGAGTGGGGGACACCCCTCGGCTGGGAATGGTACTGCCCGGGCCGGAGGTGGACCCTCCTGTAGCAGGGCCTGAGAGAGAAGACAGGGAGGAAAACAACAGAAGGGAGATGGAGAAGAAAGAGGAAGCAAAGTTTAATCATTTTACGTGAAAGCAAAAATCACATTTAAAATCTGTTAACAGTCTGGAACATAGAGATATTAGGGTCTCCGGTAATCTCTGTGCACGAGGTATGTCTCTGGGGTCTGTATTAATCTCTGTGTGTGAGGAGTGTCTCTAGGGTCTGTATTAGGGCCTGTATTAATCTCTGTGTGTGAGGAGTGTCTCTGGGGTCTATATTAGGGTCTGTATTAATATCAGTGTGTGAGGAGTGTCTCTAGGGTCTGTATTAGGGTCTGTATTAATCTCTGTGTGTGAGGAGTGTCTCTGGGGTCTATATTAGGGTCTGTATTAATATCAGTGTGTGAGGAGTGTCTCTGGGGTCTATATTAGGGTCTGTATTAATCTCTTTGTGTGAGGAGTGTCTCTAGGGTCTGTATTAACACCCCCTTTTACTCTGACCAAGGGTCCTTTTTCAGTTTGTTCTCCCATCCCCTCTCCCTGGAGATCAGCGAGTTGGCATTCTGAATACTCCCATGCAGGTCCCAGTGGGAGGACCAGCCCAACAGGGTTCAGATGAACAGCGAGCTGACCAGCCCATTACCTTGTGTCTGGAGGAAGGGATTGTGGGTTCCAGCTGGTTTGGGTTTGGACGACACCAGCGAGTCCAGGTCCACCAGCGCGGCATTCGGTCCAAGAAAGGACTCCGGTGTCTTCCTGACAGGTAGTGATGATCCCAGAGACGAGAGGTCAAAGGGCACGGGGGACCCCGACTCTCCTGCACCGCCTCCTCTTTGCTCAGAGTTCTCGCTAAGCTCCAGCTCAGCTGGGAGAGAGAGGGAGGGAGGAGGGTTAACACTGACTGACTGGACACTACAGCACAGGCACACACATCGCACACAGATCATACCAGTGCCGTTGGTCGTGAGTTTCTGAGCGCCCCACGGGTCGGTGGCTGTGATGTCAGAGGGCTGGGTGGAAGTGGTGACCCCATTCCCCCCCCAGGGGTCAGTTGACCCCGAGGCCGTTGTGGGGGCCACAGCAGCCCAGGGGTCACTGCTGGGAGGCGTCACAGCTGAGAGGGGGGGAAGAGAGAGAAGAGGGTTAATACAGGTAAAACCAACATGTTTCACGGCACTGTGGGTAATGTCCTTTAGGCAGAAACCTGCAGAAGACGACATTACCCACAACACCGAGCTAACTGCCACACCTCTACATCCTCCCATATAGAAGAGCCCAGCCTTTCCCTTCTCACTGTACCCCCTGCAGCAGAGCTCTGGAACTACATCTCCCAAGAAGCCAGCAAAGATGTGCACCATGGGAGATGTAGTTTTCAGAAACACCCCCCCCCCACACACACACTGGGGTCTCCCAGACAGCAAAAATCACAGCGAGAGATTCCGCTTCCCTCCCATGACCCCCCCCTCGGAGGACAGGCAGCCAAGAGGCACTATGGGTGCTGAACCCCGCCCGACTCACCGGCAGAGCCCCAGGGGTCAGCGCTGGCTCGCGTCGAGTCGCCCCAGGGGTCCGCGGGGGCCGGCAGAGGAGCAGCCGGAGCCCCCCAGGGGTCGGCGGCGGCAGGGGGCGCAGC